CCCTGACGAGCACTACTTTCTGTGGTGAAGTCGGGCGAAAAAGTGCTGTAAGCTCGGACTCAGCTTCGATTGTAACCATAAAGAGATCGCAAATTTGAAATTACCTTCCAGGACACGACCTTTAGGAAAAAGCAGCTCCGGAGTTAAGTGCGGTCGACGAAGTCAAAAGCCGGTTTCAGATCGAAGAACATAGAAATAGTGCTTCTAAGAGAGGAGTATCTGAAGTTTATCGAAGGGTGAACATGTGATCCATACAAACCCAACCAGCCTGGGTCTCACGCATGCGCCGTTCATTTGTGGCAGACAATCGATGGAGCATAACACCTGCGAGAAGTTTACGGTAGACGGTGTCCAGGGGGAAGCGTCTATAGAAAACGATTACGTTCAAAAAACCGCATTGGTAGCTGATACATACGTCAACAAGTTCGCGTTACACCGCGAACATAGTTATGGATGAACGTAACTTGGTAGTGCTACGGACAGTGGTGTTGGAAAAAACGAAGTGTACCAAATATTGTGTTTCCGTTCGACTAAAGGGATATATAATAGAAGGACATTTCATCGATTCAAACACCGCGCGGGACCTGAAGCCTACTGAAACTCCACAAGCCAGGTGTGCCACTCAGACCAATTCTATCCATGACGAACTCACCAGAGCACAAAATGGCGAAATGGCTGGTTAAGGTGTTCGAATTGGTGGATATTTTGAACAAGATCAACATAGAAGGAAAACACATGGCTTCCTTCGATGTTCAATCCCTGTTCACTAATGTACCAGTTCGTGAAGTCATACAAAGTATCTGCGATCATGTAGAGAAAGAAAATATTCGACTGTGTCTACCGGTGTCCGTCCTTGAACGCCTACTACTGCTATGCACAACCGACGTGTCTTTCTCTTTTCAAGGGAATGCGTACAGACAAATCGACGGTGTCGCTATGGGCAGCCCGCTAGGCCCAGTCCTGGCAGACTTGTTCATGGCACATCTGGAAGAAAAAGGAACCAATATTCTGGGGCGCGATATCCTGTACAAAAGATACGTCGACGACACTAGTTATAACAGAAAGCTTAGAAGAAGCTACGAAAATTATGGATGAACTCAACAGACTACATCCAAATATAGATTTCACAAAGGAATACGAATCTAACAACACACTCAATTTCCTTGACATTACTATGACTAGAAGAGAAAACGAAACGATTGCTCGATCCGTTTATCGAAAGGAAACGTGGACAGGCCAATATTTGCACTTCGGGAGCTTTATGCCCCTGGAGTATAAACGTGGTCTTGTTCGGACCTTATTTGACAGAACGAGGCGAATCTGCACGGAAGACAGAACTGAACAAGAACTGCAAAACCTCCGGGAGCTTTTAGCGAAAAACGTTTACCCCGGAAGCGTTTGTTAATAAGGATAGTAAACCGAAAATTGTGAAAGAACTGATTGCGTCAGTTCCCAAATTGCGGGTCACATCACACCTTCGATTCAAAGGTGATGACGTAAGCCGCCTGCTCTACAAACGACTGAGGTCAGCAATCGCTCGAACCTACTACGCAGCCGACCCCCAAATCGTCTACCGAACAACCAGGATACCCACACCTCCGGTAAAACAACGTCTGCCTCTGTACGCCAACTCTGATCTAATTTACCAATTCCAATGTAGTTGCGGAGCAACCTACGTGGGCCGAACAGAGCGACAGTTACGCAATCGGGTGCAAAATCAGCTGACCCAATTGAGGTCAAGTACGCTGCATAGAAACGACGATCGAAACTATAAGACCCCGTCCTCAGCAATTGCTCGACATCTGCTGATGATGCAACACCAAGTCGACCGAGGCACAGCGTTTCGAATTGTCTACAAGTCACAAGGTTGCTAAGGTTTGCCGAAGCGATTGCGATTAATCGATGGAAGCCCCCTCTGAACCAGCAAACAGAACTTTATGTTAGTCTCTGCCTACCCTGGTGATATTGGTCCTTTTACCCCTCCCTCTTTTGTTTTGTCTGTCTTCAATGTATTTTGTTTTACTTTGTTGCCATGCTAAAGCCCTATATAAACACTGTATTTTCTGCAGTATGCGCCATGTTGAGATGCAGCGAAATCGTCCTGGACGTAAATCGTGCAGTATTGCCATATGGTCTTTTGTTTTAAAGGGATATAACTAGTTGATCAGATTAGTGAACAGTCTACAGTTCAGGGCGCTAACCAAAGTTTTTAATACTGGCAGATCAAAACTGCAGTTTCCGTGGCCAGCACTGAGATAAGTTGCACACTAAATCCACATAACCAGTAGATCACATTTCATCAATGATGTGCTCATCCGCTTCCACCCTCGTAATAAGGTGAAATTTTATCCTTCGCTTGCGATTTTGTTTCGCCTCTAACTTAACAGACAACTAGTGCAACGGTTGATTTACGCCATTCAAACCGATCAATCATCTCAGGCTACCGTATAAGCCGATTGATTGGTCCCTACATCGGAAACTAAATAAGTCCCGGTATAATTTCCTTCCTTTTGAAATATTTTAAATACGACATATTCACATCCCGGTCCCAGTTACATGTGAGCACTGGTACGAGATAAGTTGTACAGATATGAAACGATCATCTGCCAAACATAATCTGAACGTACATACCTCATGAGTTGAAAGGTCTGATCAGCTTCGTTGTGAGCTAGTTGGTGCAGTGGTCAAACACGGCTTGGGTCCAAGAGTTCAAAACCCGGACGAGACAGTGGATATGCACTGATGATGATGACGAACTCTAAGCAAAGCATAACTCGAGTCAGGTGCTTCTCGTTTATTGTCGACTGGATAAACTGGGAATTGTCCGTGCGTATGCAGTCTGAAAGATGGTCAGTCATTGGAGCATGAATTACTAGTTCCTCTTACCTATTTTGAATGATCAGGTGACAACCATCTGTCAGACACCTTGATGTTATCTTTCAATTTGCCCCAATCCAGTTCGCTCATGCCACAAAGACCAGAAGATTCACCTTTTACACTTTGTGCCATAATTAACCAGTTTTATCGCCATTTGTAGAACATTTTACTTTAGCATGCATACGTTTTGAATCACGCATTGTATAGGTCTATTTGAATATATATCACATCCCTCGCGAGCACCTTGTAAAACATGTTAAACCCGTACAGTACCAAGCTTGCAAAACATTCTCACAATATTTTACTATTTACTGTTATCATCCTCTACATGTTCAACTTACTGTGTTTCTTTCACACACACCCTCGTTCTCCCGACGAGCACATTTCGGAGAACACTGGGGCCTATAAGCGTTCTGTTGTCTCTCAACCAGTTTGGATTCCGGGGAAGCCAGATCTCGTTGAATCTGGCATTTTCCGGGTAGCTAACACGCAGCAAGGGGTTGGATATCGAATGGCACAGACGAAGTTTCAGTCCAATCGGTATGACATCCGCAACGGAGGTGAATTTCTCAGTGAATTAGAAAAAACACAACAGTTTAAGAATAGTGACAAGCATTGGGCTTTCACGCTGAGCAGTGATCCACCTGATCTCGTGATCCGCCGTTAGTTTAGCTCTTATCCAACTAAAGATCGAGTTCGCACAGCCAACAGATGCTCAAGGACTCGGTTGTGAAACGGCCCATGTGATCACAGAATCATGCACTCCTATGATTTCCAGTTGTCGTTAATGAAGGCAATCTGACAAGCAGGCGGCAGTCAACATGATTGGCTAGTCATACGATAAAAGAAACAGACGATTCACTCAAAGCGCCGTTTGACAAATAACAATAGCCCATGGTTGAATGGTGTAGAACACGTTTACTCTGGGATCGGATAGGCTGTACACGCACACACACACTCATAACTGCGTGGGAAAACATAAAAGAATGGATGATGAAAAGAGTAAGACGACTGACGATCGGACGTGATACCAAAAGGAATTCCAAAAAGCCCTCGGTCAGACATCGGAGAGGAAACAGCAGGCGCACAGAAAGCGAGGCTAGAATGCCATGGTGTGGGGTTCGAACACGTGCAACTGCGCGAAAACGCGGACGGATAAACCGGTGGCACTTACCGAAGGCAAACGGAGATGGTGAACAGTATTCGGGATGGGCTGTTTGTTGTGAACTGATAAGAGGAAGAAATCGATCAACTGTGTTTTATTGAGTAGCACACCAGGCTGGAGACAAAAATGTGGGTGATAAAAGCTCTCCCGGGATTTAAAGTTACCACCAGAGAGATTGCATAGGCGTGAAAAGTCAGCAGAGAAAAGAATCGATCTTCACAGCATGTGTGCAAATTTTGGTGTGTGTGTGTGTGTGTGTGTGGGTATGAGAAAAAAAGTCAAACAGAACGAAAGAGGAAGCTTTTAGGTATCATCATCATCATCATCACCAGGACAAATGTGTGTGAAAAACAGTTGCAATATGGAGAGTAAAATAAAGCCTGTGTGACAGAGATTCAACATCATGTGCATGGACAAGACCGCTTATAGCTGAAGTGAGGGAATAGACTGAAGGAGCTTTTTGAAATTAAAATGAATGTACACAATGCGTCTTGTCCAGGGAAACTACATTCAATGTCGATTGATTCACGTGAGAAGTCACGTGTGATGTGAGGACAGTTACACACACGCACAAGCACACACACACACACAGGCGGATGAGAACAAGAGGCGGAACAGAGAGTAGCGAGAGGACAAAATGAAAACGACTTCACTGATGGGTGAAACTAAGCAAACTGCAGGCGATAAATGGATTTTTGTCACGAGACCCAGATGCGCACGGAGTCTGTGCGCCCAAAAACTGCGCTTCCGGGCAATTCGAATGGGATGGCGGAGCGAGGACGGAACTGAACCGACGGCAAACCGAACGAAATGGCCATTGGGGATCGAGAACGTGTGGTGATGAGTGTATACGCCGCGACGGGGGTGGGTTGAGGGGGATGTGTGCGCACGGGGTTAGCCCGACTCGAAATTGCGCCAGATGACACATGGTTTGATGTGACTATTCTGAACTAGCAGATCAACTTCGAGCACCGAGTGATTCATGAGAAGTCGCGTTGCTGGCTTGTTCCCGATCGATATACAATTTAAGTAGACGTTTCTAAATAGAAAAAAGATTTAATTTCATTGTTCGATGCCATATCATTACCAGAAAAGGACTTCCTTAAAATAGAGAGTTAAGAAGTGTTAGAAACCTCCAGAACCATCTTTTTATATGTGTAACTTCAAATCACACACCCTGTCTGTCCCGGTCATTCAATTAGAAGAATTCGTGGAAAATGATTCTCAAAGACAGCTCGGTGGAATATAGGAATTAGAGGCAATAGAAAATTATCAATCACTTGTAGCTTTGTTACTGGACAAGTGAACTGTCACGATATTATCCGAAAACACTGCCAACATAAACAGTCTAAATGTCCTGATTCAACCACGCCCAGAATGCTTCAGTAAACTCAAGATTACGTTATGG